CATAGTGTTGCGTAACAAGCCGGTAATGGACTTGATTGCAGAAATCCTATCGATCATGTTACATCCGAACGTAGAACAATAGTACTTGAAAACAATTTGCCTAGAACTTACTACTAATTAATACCAAGTTGCAAGCTGTACCGTCATCATTCCGTTATTCGAATTTCACTTGTATTAAATGCCTGGCAACATTTATAATTAATAGAAAATTAAAGTAAATATATTTATGACAATCTACCAGCCCCAGCTTCACTCGGATATACATATAAATCTTCCTATTGAATCACTGTATCTACTGCTAAAAAGAGCATTAAAATTCATTGAGTATTTTGAAAGATCTAAGCAAACCAGAGATATGTAATATAAAATGAAGCAACTACATTTTTTACCATCGTAACCAAGTAAGTATATTTAGCACAGATATGAAATACAGAGAAAGAAGGCCAAGAGAAAATACTAGTACAAAATAAATAGGTCATACTTAAAAAACATGGACACAATGCAGTAGTTGCTTTGTCGCGAATAAATTTCGATACGATATTCATGGACTTGGTCTCAAAACTTGTTTTCATGCATAATGACTTCTCTAGTGCATAGCGGCGTGACTGTGAACATGTGGACGGCATACTAACTTCTGCCCGCTACTTCATCCACCTAACAGTAATAATATAATAATAACTAGCTGTCCAACCAAACTATGTTTTGCCATATAAATTAAAATCGCTCTTAAAAAACTAGGGGTTGAAGCAGACGGGTGAAAATTTTCTATTCTATTCTATTCTACGGGTGGGCATTAAAAATACATACAACCCGTATGTACTGTATGTGACTTTCTTTTATACTATGTAATAATGTTTGTATAATTTGGCAAATATAATTTGATAAATTTAGCAGAGGAAGGCTGAAAAGGAGTTGGATGGACTGTGTGAAAGACATGGTACGAAAGGCAGTACATAACGACTGCGAACAAGGATAAATGAAAGAGAAGAACATATTACGCCGACCCCAAATAAATGAGATAAGGAAGAAGCAAATGGTGATGATATTTATTAACACCAAATTACAATACTTTTCATAAACAAATTTATTCTTATTAAATACGCAACATACATTCCAGAGAATTTACTACTAGTATGTAAACTAGACCAAGCTTGTATAGTTATTAGTTTCGTCCAATGACAAATAAGTAAAAGTTTTGTTACAATTGCGTGGGTACATTCAAATTTGAACTTTACATTTACATTTTTAGACATTAGTGGAAATAAAAAGTAATATCCATCACATTTAAAATTAGTACTGTTCGACTGTTCCTTAGCAGCAATAATGACCTATTGCATGACTGCAGTGAAGTAATGAAACCATTGAAAGTAAACTAAATAACATATATTTGCTGTTATTATGTAGTAGTTAAATACACACATCTTGACGCCACTGTAATAGTATTTTAAATAATACCTTAACTAAAAAAGCAAACAGTTTAGAGATACTTACCTATATCTTTACTGATATCATCATTACGAAATTGTTTTCCTACTTGACTGTCTGTTTATTACCTTTTGACTTGAAAATATACTCAGTCTATTTTTTATCTGAATAAAAAGAGACAATGTCGCGGGTCACTCCTAGTTCTGTTATATTTACTTTTCTATTTCTTATTTGAAATTCTTGTAAGTTAAACAGCTATGTTTATGTTTATATTCTAATCATATAAATAAATTACAAATCATTGTCAAAATTATATGGAGAACAATACGAGAGAAACCCCGTTCAATTGTTCAATCAACCCAGTACAGAAAGTACTGTAACAAAACAGAAATTTATAATGATCTATATACGCAATAACAGATAAAAAAAAACACAACAAGGGTTTTCCTTGAATGTCGATGAAAAATAATTTATATATAAAATATGTCGATAAAACTAAAACGCTCGCGTCACTATAACTCGAGGCCGCATATAGTCCCAGCACGCTTCGCTCGTGCCCTCTCATACAAATGACTTGATTATATTTTTCTCATATTCATTTCAGAGCTTGGCCGCTCTGATATAGTGCTGCTGGGGGGAAGGGGGATGTTAGTAATGTGGACTAATAACCGTATTGTTAGCAATTTACCATGTCAGATTGACCTCCACGTGGTTCCATTCGGAAACCATAGTGACAAATTCCTTTTGTTGCACCTTAGTTTCACGGCGGGGAATCGGATCAAACGGGTTCAAAATTACGATGATTCGAACTCCTAGTGGCGCCCTCAGACTAAAGTCCTATCCGTCAAGCGGGAGTTACCCTTCAGCCGCTCCATAAGTTCTTCCGCGGGTTTAGAGTGCCATCTGCACTTGCCCCACATTGTGCGGTGAAGCTGTAAAGGCCAACTGCGGCCAACGGCACTAGAGTAGTATTAAAAAAGTAGTAATAGTAAAAAAAACTTATTTTCATAAAAAAAAACTATGCATACGAAATAGTAGTTACTCTTTCTATTGTTATCTTTATAAGGTTGGTATTGTATTATTATTTTTAATTTTTTTTATTCCTGTAAGCTTATATTTTAGTATTCTAAAAATGTCAGCACTCAATGTGTATTGCAAAAATACGTTTTTATGTTCATGTATATATTTATATAACGACTGTTTGTTACCAAAATAAAGAGAAAAAAATAATGATGAGTTTACCACGATGGACTAACTGACCTGACCTCATCCGAACGTCTAATGGTGCCCGCCAGCGTAAATCGCAGGCGGGTTCACCGTCCATAAAATAGTGTTCTTTGGTAACAACATATTAGTTCTGTTGCAAATGTATAAGAGCTACTATGGACATATTAATCGATTTTATATAGGTATATGTATGTTTTTCTTACCCGCGCACTTCGTCTGCATCACTTACTTGATATTTATCATTATATTTCGCCCAATTTACATAATACATTTTTAAATTATAGTATATGTATTATTCTGATGTATAATCTATATAACTGTAAAGTTTCATCGAAATCCATCTAGTAGTATTTGCGTGAAAGAGTAGCAAACATCCATCAGGCATACTCACAAACTTTCGCGTTTATAATACCAGTAAGATTGCATTATTTATAGGTATAAGGTAAAAATTAATAAAATAATATAAGAGTAAAATTTTCAACACAAAACACACACTATATTCAATTACACATTGGTATCTACAATTACACATTGTAACGAAACCGTTGTAGCTCAGTAGTTTTAACCCCGATGGTCGTGAGTTCTAATACGACAACAAACATTTGCGGTCAGTATATATATTGCGGTCTAATTCTCCGATTCATGAGAACAATTAAATAAACCGGCGCCGCGACGATAGATTGATCTCATCGTTGAAAATAATTCACCTAACAGTCCACTGGTATATTAATGCACATATTTAATAATAATATAATATATTATTTGACGGCCTCGGTGGTGTATCGGTGTAGTACACCGCTTTACTTCCGATGGTCGCGTGTTCGATTCCTCGCACCGTATATTTATATTCATAAAGTATGATTATATGCAACGGTCTGGGTGGTTTCTATGTATATTATTTACAAAAAATCCATGTATTTGTATCGCTTGTATAGTACCCATAACACAAGCTCTGCTTACCTTGTGACTAGATGGCGTTGTGTGAATTATCCAGGGGTATTATTATTATACTACTACCAATTTATTAAACCCACTAAAATCAAACAGAGAAATTACTCTCAGCTTATTTTGTTTCAAAATTATTGTTCCCTATACAAAATAATAGCTCAACAAAGTTTCTATTTGACAGATCGTTCGAGATCTACTGAAATAATCATGCCAATAAATTTACCTAAAACATTGACCTACTTCCAAATGGACGGCGGATCCACGCTCGAAACAAAAGTATTCAAATAAAAGGGAAACAACAGGCAAATATACGAATAGAACAATAAGCGAACTCATCGATTGGACGATGGCAAATACCTACGTATTTATATTGTTATCCCAGGGCCGGAGTAACCATTAGCCAAAGTGAGCAACTGCCTAGGGCCCCAGCATCGGATTAGGTCAAAAAAAAATGAAACGTGGTTTATACGCAGTGAAAGTCATTGTAAACTTGTCTCGAATGTAAAATTAGTCTTGAATATGAAAAAAAAGGCGAAAATTTTCCAATTAAATTGTCAGTTGGAGAATTTTTATTCTCGGTAAAAAGAGAATAATGTTTTTTTTACATAAATATATAGAAAATAAAATGCATTGGAGGTGTTTTCAACATTTTTTTAAAGACGGGGGAGTTCAAAGAATCTTATTGCATTTTAATACCGGCACGTGTGAACCAGCCATTAATTAACAAGTATGCGAATGATTTAATAATTGTTTCTATATTCATATTAAAATTTATAGAAACATTGTTTCTAACCTTCAGCACAGAGAATTAAAACAATACTTTAATAAATATAAATATAGATACTATTGTTGTAATTATTAAATAATATAAATGGTATATTTACTATGATAAAAACATATGACATGATGGATAGAAACAATATGTATATAAATAGTGAAAAGCCTACAATCATGAACAAAAGTAAGTTTCCAATATAATAACTGTTCATTGATATTTATTACAGAAATACAGTAAAACTTTAATTAGAGACAACATTAGCAAAGGTAGATTGATCCATAAACGACATCTAATCCAATCAAACACGGTGACACAAGTAATAATATTACAGCAGGCAATATTTTTATTAATATTTTTTTTTATAAAAAATAAATGGCGCCTAATTATAGCTTAGAAGCTATAAGCTGAAAATAATGCGAACTCTAATCTAATCCATGCTATAAATGTTCATAAAATTTCTATTTAAAATAATGCAGAGTGACTTAAATTGTTTTCTTTTGTTTATAAATATAATAGATATCTATTTATATATCTACTTTTTATTACAACCGTGTCCATTTGGTAATAAATCAATGAATATAAAAGAAAGAAAAAAAAGAAAAAAGTAAAAATGAGTATGTACGTGGCACTAACTCCGGAACGCCATGACCGCTGTGAGCGGCGGAGATGCAGCCTGCGTGTCCGCACCAGTTCACATCCTATATACGATCCACCTGCAACAACAAACAAATTTTTATTAATAAATATAATATTCCCACGCGTATTGACAATTAATATTCCCACAGCTTATTCTATTCTCGCGGCTTATCCTATTGCTACGACTTATCCCATTCCTGCGACCTGTCTTGTCGCTACGACTCATAAGAATAATAAATTCCGGGAATAGTCCCGGGATTTATACTATTCCCACAACTCAGTCTATTCTCATTCTCGTAACTTATCCTATTCTCACGACTTCTCCCAACTTTTTCATTTTGTTTCTTTCGTGGCGAAAAAAAAATTAAACTACAACACTGTCACATACTATACTTTTAACTTACATACTTTTTACATAGTTACATTTATTTTGCAGCAGATAATACTGAAAAAATAAAAGTTTTTCCAAACTTGTGACTCTGATAGTGTCTATTTCGTTATAAATATGCCACATAATTATTATGGCAAACATAACTAATTTCTTTTGCAGCTGGGCGTGTAGTAATAGTAATTGCTATATTTTATCTCAAAAAATAATCTGTAAGAGATAAAATATGGGATGGAAGTTTGTAAAGACAAAGTCGCGAGAAACATCTAGTGTTATAGAGTTACACAGTCGATATAAAAAAAACTATAAAACTAACAATCCCATGGTTATAAAATAAAAATAAATCATTCCCAACGCAGTTATCCTACACGCGAAACCGCAACATATATATACATACAAGTATGTTAAGTACACTCTGCCCTCAATCTCGGCTAGCACTTAGCTGATTAGTTGCAGACCGGACAGAGCTTTGTATACAATACTCGTGTACTGTATCTATATACACTACATACTGGATTTGTTTGAACACGTTCTAACAAAGTAGGTGGATTTAAAAGATTTGAAAGTGAGTGTTTTTTACGGTAAGTGTAATGGGAAACAACCTATTTGGTAAGCCATCACTTATGATGATGATGAATGATGTGACGCCCGTAGTGTCTCATGTTCGCCTAAAATCGTATACTTCTATAATTTTAATACCATAATATCACTCTATACTTTACTGCTAGTTGAAATATGTGACACAAATTTACTCAGAATTCTTTGTGCATAATAGACAAAAAAAAAAAATTAATTATATTATTATAGTGCGTTGTAACTTATTCATAAATAAACCGTTTTTTAGATATATATACGTTTTTATATACTACGTAGGAGGCAAACAAACATACGAGCCATCTGATGGTGAACGGTTACCATAGCCTATGGTCGCCTGAAACACTAGGGGTGTCACGTGCGCGTTGCCGACACATTAGAAATCTTAATATACATCTTGAAAAACCCCATGCTGTAGTCTCTCGAGAAAAACTCGCCAGGTAGTTCATTCCACAATCTAATTGTATGCATCTTAAACAAATTTAACGTGAAGATACATTTTATATGCAATCTTTTATCTAAAAAGAAGCAGACGGAGTCGATGCAAATAACAAGTTTATTCCATGGTAATATATAAAATTGCATAAAAAACATGCCTGAATTCTTGAATAGCGGAAAAATAACGCTTACGCCCTCGGAGTCAGCGCAGCGTTTGAAATTTAGAAAAGGAAACGCGGCAAATGGGAACTTAGCTTGAAACTCACGTCGCAATATTCTGGACGTTTTAATTTTTGTTTCTTTTTTTTTAATTCCTTCAAAGACGACATTAACAGCGAATTACGTGGGAACTTATTTTTGCAAATTATAATAGAATTCATTACAATGTACATTATACAATATTGAAATTATTATAGGGATACTAGCTGTCCCGGCAAACGTTATTTTGCCTTAAAATAAAAAAAAAATTAGGGGTGGACTACCCCTAATATTTAGGGGGATGAAAAATAGATGTTGGCCGATTCTCAGACCTACTCAATACGCTCATAAAATTTCATGAGAATCGGTCAAGCCGTTTCGGAGGAGTATGGAAACGAACACTGTGACACGAGAATTTTATATACAAGATTTTTCTTTTTTCATTTTTCACATATTTATAGAGACACAAAAATCCATGAATAGAATAGAATAGAATAGAAAATCATTTATTCAAATAAACTTAATTTAAGCACTTTTGAATAGTCATAACAATTTGTTTTTTATCTACCACTCGTTCGGAAAGCTGTCTCATCACAAGAAGAACGAGCAAGAAACTTGTGTGTTGCTCTTTTAAATAATCCTTGTAAGTTTACATTTACAAGTCGAAACGTGTGAATACAAACTACCAACAAGCACTAATTTTTGGGTCAAACATAAATATGCAATAAGATTAAATCAGTCGTAGTGATAAGAGCAGACCAGTCCCTACAAGCAGCACTCGTTCACGAGTATGACGGATGAGCCAGCCATCACTGCGCTCGACCATATTTTAGGGAGCCCATTGACCCGGCCCACCACGCCGCCACATGTCTGGACATTTTAGTGAGCATGACTACTCATTCCACACGACCACGTCACAGCTATAAAAATTACTATATGGTAGTTACAGTATTCGCACTTTACATAAGGATGCATGCGGCAATCAATACAAAAGCCGCTACGCTATCATATATCAAGAAAGCAGTATGAAAATTAAAATTATAACGTTGTCCGCAAATAAACTTATTCTTGCTATATATTGCTATCATCTATAAATTCATCTATCTTATAATAGGCTTTTTTACATAACATTTGTTTAATATAAGATTTGAATTGCCTCTCTGTAAGATTTAGCGTAGACTCTGGCAGTTTATTATAGAATCTTACGCAATTACCATAAAATGAATTACTAACTTTGTGTAGACGGCATTTAGGTAAAATTAGCTTATTTTTATTGCGTAAGTTTCTACTTGTACAGTCTTTAAGTTTCTTGAAACTATCTAAGTTTTTCCTTGTATACATAATATTTTCATAAATGTACTGTGAGGCAACGGTGAGGATATTTGATTGTTTAAAGCATTGACGTAATGACTCTCTAGAACCCATACCATAAATAGAACGTATGGCTCTCTTTTGTAAAATAAATATAGTATTTATATCGGCAGCTTTACCCCATAGCAGTATGCCATATGACATAATGCTATGGAAATAACTAAAATATACAAGTTTAGCCGTCGCCACGTCTGTTAATTGCCTTATCCTTCTAATTGCATAAGCAGCAGAACTAAGTCTACTGGCTAATTTTGAAATATGGGGCCCCCATTGTAACTTCGAGTCCACTGTTATTCCTAAAAAAACTGTATCATTAACAAAATTTACTATTTCATCATTAAGCAATAGCTGCGTATTTACTTGTTTTACATTAGGCAGCGTGAATTTAATGCACTTAGTTTTGTTGGAGTTCAATAATAGATTATTACATGTGAACCAATTTAGTATAGCAGAGATAGCATAATTTACATCGTCTAATTGATTACATTGGCGACCAATTTTAAACACTAACGAAGTATCATCCGCAAATAACACTATATCTGCAACTTTCTCTACCATGTAGGGAAGGTCATTTATATAAATTAAAAAGAGAAACGGGCCTAATATTGAACCTTGAGGAACGCCCATTTTTATATTAGTTCCCTTAGACTTTACACCATCAATATCTACAGTTTGCACCCTATCCTCTAGATAAGTTTTCATTAGACTTAGGTCATTATCTCTAATACCATAATGTTTGAGCTTGTACAAAAGTGTTTCATGATCTACGCAATCAAACGCCTTCGACAAGTCACAAAAAACGCCGAGAGCATCCTGTGAGTTTTCCCATGATTCGAATATATGTGTAATAAGCGCTACGCCTGCATCAGTAGTAGACTTGCCGGCAGTGAAACCATATTGCTGACTGTGAAGCAGTCCGTTATCCCTGAAGTATTTTAACATTTGGTTAAACATAATCTTTTCAAATACTTTACTTAGAACTGGCAAAATAGAAATTGGTCTATAGTTGCCTAGTTCAAATCTATCTCCAGATTTAAAGAGTGGAATTAATTTGCTAAATTTCATTAATTGAGGAAACACGCCATTATCAACACATTTATTGAAAATAGTAGCTAGATAAGGAGCAACAATATCTATGAATGTACTAACTACTTTAACTGACATGTCCCAGAGATCTTCCGTATTTTTTAAATTTAACTGTTTGAATATTTTTATGACATGAAAAGGGCTGACATGTGAAAATTTAAATGTTAAAGAGCAAGGGCTGACATTAGCCTCCAGTAATGTTTTTGCTCGAATTGGAGATGAGTCTAGAGAAGATGTAATATCAATCGGAATATTAGCAAAAAAATCTTGAAAAATATGAACTATATCTTTTGTTGCTGTTATTAACTTATTGTCATAATTTAATGAGAATTGATTGCAGGCTTTTTCAGACCGTCCAGTTTCTTTGTTTATAATTCCCCAGATGGTCTTAATTTTGTCAGAGGACTGATTAATTTGTTTATTTATAAAATTAGATTTAGCTGCAATACAAACTTGTTTGAAAATTTTAGAGTAATTTCTCACATAAGTTGTAAATTTGTCATCAAATCTATATTTTTTTTGATCATATAAATCAAATAAAATGTTTCTACTTTTAATTATTCCTACTGTTGCCCATTCTGTAAATTTAGATTTAACACAATATTCTCTTTTCTTGAAAATATTCTGGTATTCTTTTGACAAAAGACTAATTAACTTGGTGTAAAGAATATCAGGATTATTAAGACTGACAGATTGTAACTCTAAGTCTAATTTATATTTAACCGTGCTTTTGTATTTATTAATATTGTAAGCATTTATTTGTCTTTTTGATCTTTTATTATTGGTATTTTTTTTAGTCTGATTACTAAACTTAACAACTTGACCACAGTGATCCGAAGGAAGTTTATTTATTATTAATTTTTCAATATACTCACAGTTACAAAAAACATTGTCAAGACAAGTAGCAGTCGTAGCGGTTACACGAGTGGGTTCCTGAAAGACATTACTCAAATTAAAAGACTGAAATAAACTAATAATTTTTGTACATGTGGGTGTATCACA